GGAGGGGGACGGAGCGGGGGGCCGAGCCCCGGCTCTGCGCCTTCCGCACAGCTCCGTGTGCCGCGGCCGAGCTGCTGGCTGCTTCTTGCCGGCCTTGTTTTCACGTAGGCAAGGGGTGCGTGTTCCTGCTCTGTCTGTAATCCTGTGAGTAACGCCCCTTTCTCCCTCCCTTAGCATGTCCAAAATACTGAAATGTGCAGGAAACGAAGATATCATCACTCTCCGAGCAGAAGACAATGCGGATACCTTGGCTCTAGTGTTTGAAGCACCAAGTGAGTGTTAGATTTGGGCACTGATGTACTACAGTGATATTTTTAGGTAGTCTTCATAAATCACATGAATGCAGGGTGGGAAGGAAATTACAATTAATACTTCTGAAATGGGAAGGGTCACATGGTAATCAAACACTTCAAACAAACAGTGTGGAGATGTAAGCCTAGTCAGGTTGACCAATGCTTTCTTTGTAAGAAAGGCCATGTGCAGATGCTCTTAGTGAGTTGCTGTCCTCTTACAGCCCCTTTGGGTCACTTTCTGATTTCTATTCCCAATTAAACGAGGTGGATCTTATTGTCACAACTGAAGAGGTGGTTTTGCTTGGCAGAGGGGAAAAGAATAAAACTTAAATTCAGGATGATAGCTTCCCAGAAACACCTTGTCAAACTATTCTTTGTTTCTTTAGATCAGGAAAAGGTTTCTGATTATGAGATGAAACTAATGGATCTTGATGTGGAGCAGCTTGGAATTCCAGTAAGTAGTACCTCAAATGACTGACTACACTATCTCTTAGAAATGGGTGCTTCCCTCTATCCACATCAGACTCAGACTTTGAGCCTGTAACATGAGTTCCTTTGGAAAGCCTGAACAAACACAGGTGTAGTGACTACACTGGGATTCTTGGTAGAAATTTAATTGTGACACTTCGTTCACAGGAACAAGAATACAGTTGTGTAGTGAAAATGCCCTCCGCTGAATTCGCACGCATCTGTAGAGATCTCAGCCACATTGGCGATGCAGTTGTCATCTCCTGTGCAAAAGATGGTGTGAAATTTTCAGCTAATGGAGAGCTGGGCAATGGAAACATCAAACTGTCGCAGACCAGCAATGTGGATAAAGAGGAAGAAGCTGTAAGTTAAGCAGTCATAGTTGCTGTGGGGTCTTCACTGTTGAGGTTTCTCTGAATATGACTAATTATCTGACCCATCGGGGGCTAAAGCTGGGTGATTGGATCGTGCATTTCTCTAGTTGATAGGTTAGCAAATTGTTGCCAGCTTTAGGCCCTTACCCAAGGGCCTGCAAGCAGCACTCAGCAGAACAGAGTGGGGAGTAGCCATGACTGCCCTTGCGCTGTCTGAATTGAGTGAACTTGCTGCAGCTTGGATTGATTTATGTCTAACCTGGCTGATTGTTTTCTAGGTTACAATAGAGATGAATGAGCCAGTCCAATTGACCTTTGCTCTGAGGTACTTGAACTTTTTTACCAAAGCCACTCCCCTGTCACCTACAGTAACACTCAGCATGTCTGCAGATGTTCCTCTTGGTAAGTAGAAGCAGCTCTGCTTGAAAAATCTGGTAGAAAGCTGCCAGCTTAGAACTGCATTAAGAACTCTCTGAATGGCTTCTCTGAAGAACCTTCTGAATACTGTTTTTTTCTTTTTCCCAGTTGTGGAGTACAAGATTGCTGACATGGGACACTTAAAATACTACCTGGCTCCAAAGATTGAAGACCAACAAGAAGGCTCTTAATTGGAGTAGGACTGAGGGGGAGATCTGAGCTCTTCAGGGAAGACAGCTGACTTGAAGGAGATGGTGGTGTTAGCAATTTCAGTGCATTGGAGCATTATATAAGCACTGTTAGGCATATTATGTAGATATCTCTGTACATATTTTTCAACTTACTATTTTGCTATACTGATGTCTCTAGAAATAGGAAATTTTGATTTTTCTAGTCTATTCCTGTACTTCCAGTAATCTTAGATGCTGTCTGAGGGTGAAATATCTTACTCCTTTCAACTTGTGTTAGAGAAGGGGTGCAATATTTAACTTGAGTAAAGATGATGTTTCCCAAAGTTTCACCTGGGGACCTGTAGTTGACTAGAGTTGCTGTTCAGTTACGCTGTGAGTTTTTGACCTTACTTCATTTATTTTTAAAGCTGATATTCTAGCTGAAACTTGGAAAATGGAAATAAAGAATGTAATTTCGTGGGGTTTATCCTGTTTAAATGTGGACGGATGAATCAATGCTTTTGTCAAAACTATGTTGTACCCTGGCTCCTTTTCCGGGGGCACAGCAGCAGGCATGTGTATGCTCTTTTCCACTGGAGTTACCAGCTTCTCTGATCATTCAGATGTGTTTAATTGGAGGGGCATGGTTAGTTTGAGTAATTAATTGCTCTGTGATGCCATTCCCTTTAAGCAGAGGATTGTGGAACAGGCTTTCCTTAGCTCATGGATCAGCTTTGGCAGCTGTCCCTGGCTCTTGGTGAAGTCTGAGTGTTGTGGGCACATGCTGTGGTGCAGCTGTGACCAAGGAGCTTGGTCTGAACTGTGTGAGCCCTTCCTGGGTCAGGGTCTGCTGTTTGAGTTACTGACGTTAAGCTGCTCCTCAGCAGGTTGCATTCCTTGTCTGCTTTTTCCCCCTCCTTACACGCTTCTGTTGACGTGCACTGCACTCACCTGTGCCACCAGCAGCCCTAGTCGAGGATATTTGTGATCACGTTCATTTTATTGGTGAAGAAACAAAACTGTGGTTTACAGCATGTTTCACCCTGAAGGTTTCATCATGAAAAATAGGGTTTGAAAAACAGCTTCAGGCAGCTACTGTGCTTCTCTGCTTCCTGACTGCTACCAGCTAGCTGCAAATTCCCAGTGTGGGACCTGAGCAGCGCCACTGACTCACAAACAAAGAAACACGAGACAGCAATTCAGTTGGCTTGATGGGTGCTGGGTGGTAAGTAGAACTTGGAGGCTCTAGAGTGCTCTTGGGCGTGCTTACTTTTTTTTTTTGTTTTTAGGAGGCCACGTACCTGCTGCTAGTTGGCAATAAAAGTATCTTGAGCATAAACTGCCTGAAAACTTGACCCTTGGAAAACTCCAACTGATTTAGCAGAAGAATTTCACAAGGTGGCAGTACTGATTTGAGAAACAAATTCTGCTGTGTCAGAATGATGTGGCTACCCTTGCGATAGGAACTTGCCCCTGCTTGAAGCTGGGGGACAGGATTTAATGCCTCTGCCTTCGATTCTTTGTTGGTAGTAGCACTACTCTATCAGTAGAAATGGTTTAGGCTGAGACTTCCTTCCGTGATGCAGATGGCTCCCTGCGTGGTTTTCAGTTCCTGTGTTGAGCTTTGGCTTGTGTCTCCAGAGCATACCCCATTTATTCTCTTGAACTTGGCTTGCTGATTAACTCAGTACCCTTTTAAGAAAACATATTGGATGTAAAATCTGGCCCAGCTGTCCTAAAGGTTTTCATCAGTTGCTCAGAACAGTAGTAGTGGATACCTTGGATAACCAGGAGGGGTTTTTCACTCCAAAGATGTCTCAAATGGGATGGTCACGTCTGCCCACAGGCAAGTAACGTGCTTCAGCAAAGAATCAAAGATTTGTGATGCTGAAATAGGGAAGGAATCTGGGTTTCAAGGAGTTGTGTAAAGCTGGGCTAGACTAGCAAATTCTGGTGCAACCCCCTGTAGTGGGGATTACCAAACCCTTATTTATGCTATTCTACTTGTAAACACACTGGAAAAAAATAAGCTAAATTATTTGGTTTCTTACAGCTGTGATGACAAAATTGAGGAGCCTCATGTAAGAAACTTCCTTTAACGTTAGTACCTACGCGCTTGTGTACTGGCTGCTTCCTGTGTGAGTCCTCAAAGCTGCTGAATGTTTACTTTGCTATTGCCCTGCCCAAACACTGAAAATCAAGATGTCCCCTAAAAAAAAAAAAAAAGTGGGAGAGGCTTAGTAAAGTTTCTCCATGTTTGAGCGGATAAACTTTTGAAGTTTAGAGAAAAGAAATCAGAGGGAGGGAGAATTCCTTAAAACTTAAGGAGATTAGGTTTTTGGTCTAAATCCAGTGCATGTTTTACTCATTTGCTGGAGCCACGGCAATCCCTGCAGCCTCCTCGTCTGGCGCAGTTGGAGAAGTGGATCCCCAGCTGATGGGTTAATGCTGTTCCAGGTGCTAGAAATTTCCTGGCAATAGCGTGTCTGTCGCACACTTAGCCCTGATGGAGGGCAGTGCTGTGTCTGACAGTTTATGTCCAGGCTTTCCTTTAGGAAACAGGTTTTATGTTAAAGTCTGTGCAGGAGTGATGCGTCCAGACCAGCTACAGGTCCAGCCCTGCGCTGCGCTCCGCTGACCAGAGCGCCGTCCGCGCCAGCCGGCCCAAGGACACTGATTCCACTTGTTAATCCGGAGCGTGAGCCTGCAGAGCTCCCGGCGGCGCTGAGCCAGGCCGAGTGGCTGCTCTAACCTGGAAGGAAATCCCCGTCGCCGGGGATAAACTTCCTGGGTCGTTCTGCGGCGGGGCAGGGCGGCGGCGATGGGTCTGACCGGCAGCGCAGGTAGCGGGTGAGGGCCCGTGCGTGTTCGTTTTTAGCAGCTTGAAGGTGCCGGAGGCGGCGGGTGCAGCCTGCAGGTTTGGGGAGTTCCCAGACACGTTGTGAATTTCCTGTTGAGCGGCAGAGAAACCATTTCAGGGCTGGAGGAGGGGAGCCGGGTGTGTTTCGTGTGAGGTTTGAGCGCTCGCAAGGGCGAGAAATGACATTTCCCCTTCCTTATTCCTGCGTAGAAAAAAAAATATGTCGTTTTTATTTAGGGGATAGACAGGATTTTGGCTGGAAGTGCCGTGTCTGCAGTTACCGGCGAGCTGCGCTCTGCGGGAAGCCCCTTCCCCCAGGCACTGCGGGCTCGGGCTGTTGTAACGGGACTGTAGGGCCGGCGGTAGGAAACCTGAGTTACCAGCGTGATTCACCGTTTATTTGCCTCTTAAAGAGCGCAGCGCTGAGCTTGTTTGTGCTCCTAAACCAACGTAGGGCACAAGGCGAGTGAAACGTAGTGGACTTGAACCTGGACCTTAAACATCATGTGGTCTGAATATTTTCTTACATTTATCCCTACTAGCTGTTTTCTTCTTGATAAGCAGGTAATGGGAAGGGCTGGACCGTTTTTGCAGCTGTAAATTGGAAATAATTCTTAGGACGCCACTAGGAATAACCTGGTAAATACTGAGGCGGTTGGTAAGAAGCCCTCTGGTACTTAAGAGTAAAATGGGGCAGATGTGCTGATTTTCTTCTGGCTTCCTCCCCTGCTGCATGGGCATGCGGGAGCCCCTGGGGGTATTTGCGTAGTGACCTGAAAACCAGATGTGTACAGAGCTGTAGTGTGAGAGTTCCCACCCTGTGGGTGGGTGATGCTTCAGTTATTGATTGGGGCTAGGAATGTGTTTTGTCTGTGCTTGGGTTTTGTTATAGGAAAACAAAAATGTTCAAGTTAAAGGTATAGCTGAGGGGGTTTAAGATCAGAGGGTGCTGGCTTTTTTTATCGAAGTCAGATTGACTGCAGGGGGAACAAACCTGGTGCCAGCAATTGGCAAGAGACAAAGAATCTCAGTTCAAGTGGGGATTAAATATTTTGAGGTGATGCGATTACCTTAGGTGCCAAATAGTGTTGTGAATGGAAAGAACATCTTTGTCCCTTCCTGTTGGAACAGTTGGGATTTGCACTTCTTTCTTTATTCCTTACATTCTCAGAAAATAAAAAGCTATGGAATTTGTGTGGGAAGCCTGTTGTCTGCCTCACGTCTGGGAATCGCAGCCCTGGGCTGCAGTGCAGGTTCAAGGCCGTGGGTGAGCAGACACCCGGCGCACAGGTCCTGCTGGGTGATGTCAGGCCCCCTGAAGTGGCTCTGCAGTGCGGCGGGGATGTGGCAGGCCGGATCCAGGCTTCAGCTCCTGAGAAGTTGGGCTCCCAGGAGCAGACACCAGCTGGCCCTGCCCCTCTCCCCGGGACTGTCATTGCTGGCAGCAAAACCACGGGAGTTGGCTTCGTGGCCTGGTGAAATTGCAGGGTACAGCTCGGGCGTAACTAAATAAAGCTCTACCCTGAGCACTGCCTCCCTTGCAGCTAGACGGACAAGTGACCTGTGCTTTTTTAGCTCCTCACTGGTTTTTAGTTTACCTCATCCACTAACCACTCCATCCCCTTGTCATGTTCCTTCTGAGTCATGACTCGAGCTGTCTGGGGAATGACAGCTACACCTCATTCTAGTTTTCAGTGTGGTGGTTTGGTTTGTTTTTTTTTTTTTTAAATGGATCTGTTGCAAAATATCCGGCTGGTTGCAAAGCTGCTTTGTTTAGTTCTGGTTTGGGTTTATTTGTTAGTGTCTCTGTTTAGAAATAGCTGGACCTCAGACATCTCCCTGTTGGAAGTGTGATCTTGCGAAACCAGAGCTGGTTTATACATTGTATATTATTCTGGCATTTCTATCTCGTTTTAAACACAAGTTCTACCTTAGTTTAACTTTGCTTTCAAATATTGGCAAACCCTATTGCAGCTGTAGTCATGCTTTTGTATTTTAGGCTTAAACACGAAGCTTTAAAAAAAAAGAATTTATGAAAAAACAAAGATTGTCTTTCAGTACAGGCTTAACTTTGTTTCTCAAGAAGCTTGATCTATGTGTCTCAGACGCTGTCATCCAGTTTGCTCTGATTATTTTTTTGCTGTTGCTTTCCAGGTTCTAGCTGATGCCCAGGGTTCCTTGTAATGATGCCATCACGTACGAATCTGACTGCTGGGATTCCCAGTAGCAAAGTCAAATATTCCAAGCTCTCCAGCACTGATGATGGATATATTGACCTGCAGGTAAAAAGTGGGGAAGAAAACCTCTTTCTGCTGCTGCTTTGACTGCAAACTACTAAGAAGGGCTGCTACAGCTCTGTGTGCACGGGAGGCTGCTGTTCTGTTCATGCCCAGCAGAGCAGCCTCAGAGGTCCAAAGGTGGCTGCAAGCCACCACTTCAGCCCTTCTTTCCCAGAAAGTCTGTAGAGCTTCACTGGAAACAAGATTGGTTCAGTAGTGTCAGGTGCATTTCTTTGGAGGGAGGTGAAAATCAGGGCAGATCTGGAAGCAAGGGGTGTAAATGCTGGCTCAGCATCTCCATGGGGAGGATTCCTGCAGGAGGTTCCACTGCGGAGCTGCTGTGACAGCTTGTCCCGTGTCATCGCTGCTACCTGTGGGATTTGTCTCTGCTGTGGTGGGAGGGGAACTGTGCTGAGTGAAACTGTTTAATATTTGGGGTTTTTTTTCCATTCAGTTTAAGAAGAGCCCACCAAAAATCCCCTACAAGGCAATTGCACTGGCTATTGTGCTCTTCATGATCGGGACCTTCCTCATTATCATAGGTGCCCTCCTCTTGGCAGGATACATTAGCAAAGGCGTAAGTGGTTTGATTACCTTTCTGCTAAGAGTTCTGTGTTGTCCATTCCTCAAAGCCTGCCACGAACTGTCATGTTCAGTGTAGAAATTCAGAGCAAAAGGCCTGGAAGCCAGAAAATAATCCCCTCCACTGCCCTGCTGGTGTCCGACAGCCCTGTTTCTCTGGCAGCAGAGCCCTGTCTTCACTTAGCAAGTCTGGAGCAGGTTCATAGCTGGACTGGAGATCTGCCAGGAAGGGCTGAGTTTGTGTCTTCCCTGGGGTATTGGTTTCATTTTAACGCTACCTCCCTGCAGAGGTCAGCTTGCTGTCCTGGAAAAACTTCATGCAGGGATCATCACTCTTCTAGTGAAGATAATGTAGGAGATACCAGACCACTATACAGGACACAGCACCACTTTTCTCATCTCTGTATTTATGATCCACTGAAAGTGGATCTGTTGTTTGCAGCTGGCTTGGTGCTCCTCTGTGGCACAGTTCTCCTTTTACCTTGTGCTGAATGGAGTTGCTTTACGGTTGGCAGCTGCTACTTATCACTGTGGCAACAGCAGCGTTTTGGCAGTATCGGCAGCAGTCCAGGCAAGCTCGCTTTTGGCCAAGTGTGCAGCACCCAGCCTGGCGCTGGCAGCTTTGTGATTAGTGCTAGGACCCACCCCTATCCAAAGGAGGTATTCAGTTGAGGGTTTCCTGTAGAAAGGAGGAGATGCCAAGGAGAGAACTTAGTGCTCAGCCTGAAGAAAACTTAGATATTTCTGATTTAAGTTATTTTTTTTCATTTTTGTCAGCTAGCCAAGCCTTAGGGATGAAGTTGAGGCAGGACTGAAGAAAAAGGAAAGACTCCCCCATAGAGATCTCTGCTGACTACACTTGAATTTCTCTTCTGCAGGGCACGGACCGTGCTATCCCCGTGCTCATCATCGGGATCCTTGTGTTTCTCCCAGGCTTCTACCACCTGCGCATCGCATACTACGCTTCCAAAGGCTATCGGGGCTATTCCTATGACGATATCCCGGATTTTGATGATTGAACAATGTATTTAATTGCATTCTAATTAGGTTGGTGGTAAGCACTGTTAGTTATGCTGGATATCTGAGGGGACCTGTAAGATTCTAGATGAAGTATAGCAGTCACAAGATTCCAGTTCCTGGTTTTGAGGGGATGGAGGTTTTTCATTTGTGGGATGGGGGCTTGAAGACACAACTGACCAAAAGGATTGCAACATTAGGTGGGAAGAACATGTGATTTATTGTATTTTTCCTCTTTTCGGTCACATAATGCTGGTTGCTTGTAGGAAGTTCTTCTTGGGCAAGGCAATTCTAACGATTTTCCAAAAATAGGTGAGCCAGTTTCAGCAGTAAAGATATTTGTTTTTTCTAACTGTTTTATAGTGTTTATTTTCGGTTTCAGTGAGATTGTGGTTATCACTGGGTTTACTTTTGCAGACAAACGCTATAGTTAAACTCTCCTTTTCTTCTCTGTCCATCAGAAATGCTTCCAATCTACTTGTCCTGTGCTTGTCTGGAGTAATGCGAGTCAGATACGTACAATAGGGGGAAAACTCTGCTTCCATGAAATAACTTACACGTAGTGCATTTGCTGTACAGCTCTTGTCAGACTACCAGGTTTATTTACTCAGCAAACGCTTCAGAAGCAAGTTATTTCCCATGCCACTGTTACTTTTGGCAAAATCTGCTTATCCTTGAAAAGGACTGTTGTTGGATTTTGCTTATTATTTTAAACCAAATGGACAGAGGGAGAAGAATTGGAATCTGGATCAGCAGTCAAGTGTCTAAATACCAAAAAATCTTGAGTTTGATTAGTGTGGATATTGGAGACACCTGAATTCCATCTGTCTATTTGGAATCATTTTGTCCTTGTCTAGATAATACGCTGTGCATAACTCCCTAGACCAGTAAAATGGAAATCTCTGTATAGTTTGTACTGAATAAATCCCATGTGTATTGTTTTGCTAGCTTCAGTGATATGTTCTTGAGAGAAAACAGATTGGTAGCTCTGTTTTATGTAAAGTAAAAACCGTCTGTCTCCTGAAGTGGGAATGAACTCGGTGTCCTGGGGAACAAGTATGTGACAAGTAGTGATGCAAGGAGATGTATTTAATATGAATAAACTGCACTGCATTCTGTGTACAAATCATAAGCTTGTCTTTTTCACATTCACAGATCTGTGTGGCCTAAAAACTGTGCTGGGCAACCAGATTAAGGCTTTAGCTGAATCTGCTGTTGCCTCCTGTTTCCCACTGCTAATGTAGTCGCTCCAGTCAGCATTAGGCTCTGCTGAGCCAGCAGCTTTGGAACGGCTCCATCTGCCCTCCAGGACCCTTGGCTGGCTTTGGGGCAGAGCTGGGATTACCCTCTAGTGCAGCAATCCCGAGTGCCCAGGGTGTGGCAGGAAAACGTGCTTCTCCAGAAGGTCGGGATTTGCCTTTTGAACCTCATGTGCAAAGACCCCAGACTCCTAATTGCTTTGCATCAGGGTCCAGGTATCCAGTTCCGTTTGCTGTGTGCCGTAGCAGGAGCAGTGACTGAATATGGCTTGCAGGCTGGTGCTGGTACTCCCGAATTGTCAGGTGTGCCTCATGTGGACTGAACGTTTTTGAAAGGAAGAGGGTCGTGCGTGTATCGCTGTTAATGCAGAGCAGGTCCGTGGAGATACTGAGAGCAGTGGCGGATGCTCTCCAGCTCCCTGCCAGGAGGGGCAGAGAGGGGGGATGAGTCTCTGGAGCCAAGGCCCCAGCGCCAGGCCCCGAGGGAATGGCCTCAAGCTGCCCAGGGCAGGGTCAGGCTGGCTCTGAGGAAGGATTTCTGTGCAGAAGGGGCTGTTGGGCGTTGGAATGGGCTGCCCAGGGCAGGGGGGA